AACCATGCAATACAACAATCCCACTCATGGCTATCTGCTCTAGAAAAATGAAAACATAAGTTAACATAAACACTGCCATTTGGATAGTACATAAGTATTTATAGAAATTCTGTTCATAATTGCCCCAAATTGGAAAACATTCCAAATGTCACTGACTAGGTGAGTAGGTAAACAAACTGTGGTACTTTCATACCATGGACCACTACACAGTAATGAGATGGAACAAGGCAGTAGGCTGAGTGAAAGAAGCTAGTCTCAACAAGTGCTCGGGCCTGGTGCACTGGGAAGACCCAGAGGGATCGGGTGGAGAGGGAGGTGGGAGGGGGGACTGGGATGGGGAATACATGTAAATCCATGGCTAATTCATTTCAATGTATGACAAAAACTACTGTAATGATGTAAAGTAATTAGCCTCCAACTAATAAAAATAAATGGAAAAAATAAATAAATAAATAAATAAATAAAAAATTAAAAAAAAGAGGAGGTCAAGGAGAAAAAAAAAAAAAGAAAGAAGCTAGTCTCAAAAGGTTTCATACAGTAGGATTCCATTTATATATTAATAACCTTCTCAAAAAGACAAGGCTGTAGGGACGGAAGACAGACCAATGGTTTTTAGGAGTTAGGGAGGGAGGTAAGATAATAGTAATAATAATAATAATAAAAGGATGGCATGAGAAAATTGGGGAGGATGATAGAACTGTTCTGTACCCTGATTGTAGTTATGGTTATAGGAATCTGTACATGTTTTTAAAATCATAGAACCACATACCAAAAGAAAAAGATCAATTTCACAACATGATAATTTAAAAAAATTTTTTAAAAGCCCAAAAACCAAACTAGCATAGAAAGCAAGACATTTTCCATTGTGTAAAATATCTATTAGATATTAGCATAAATAAACAAAAGCAATGTTAAACGGAAAAAGGAATGGAAAAGTAGAATTTTAGATTTCTAGATTCACACATTAATCCAGGGTCAGAAAATATGCTCATGGCAGATTGTATTTTCAAGAATGGCTGCAACAATAGGTGTCTACCTAAATGCTTTTCTAGAACCTTGCTACTCCTCCATCAAGAGGTTTATGTCCCTATATACAATGGATATTACTCAGCCATAAAAAGAACAAAGTGATATTTGCAACAACATGGATGCAAGCATAGATTATCATATTAAATGAAGTAAGTCAGAAAGAGAAAGACAAACACCATAGGATATCACTTATAAGTGGAATCTAAAATATGGCACAAGTGAATCTATCTACAAAACAGAAACTGACTCGTAAGCTTAGAGAACAGTCTTGTGGTTGCCAAGGGGAGGTTGGGAAGAGGGACAGACTGGGAGTTTGGGGGTGGTAGATGCAAATTATTACATTTATACTGGATAAACAACAAAGTCCTAATGTATAGCCCAGGGAACTATATTCAATATCTTGTGATAAACCAGAATGAAAAAGGATATAAAAAAGAATGTGTAAATGTAAATAACTGAGTCACTTTGCGGTAAAGTAGAGATTGGCACAAAATTGTAAATCAACTTCAATAAATACTTCAATAAAAATTTTTTTTTCTTAAAGAGAGATCTATGTCCCTATGACTTGAATTTGTGACTATTTAGACCAAGAGAGAATGCTGAAAGCTACAGTATATGCTTCCCAAAGTTAAGTCATAAAACTGCTATGCATTTCCTCATTCTCTTAGAAAACTTGCTCTTGGAACCCAGCCACTATAGCATAAGCAATTCCAAGTAGCCCAAGGAAAGGCCTGACTTTAGAGGAACAAAGGCCCTGGCTGATCTTCTTCTAACCAACAGCCAGCCCAATAGTGCCAGCCATATCACACAGCCATCTTGAACATAGAGTCAAACTAACTGACACTGTCCAGAACACAGCAGAGAGTGTCAGCAGAGCCCTGCCTAAGTAGGCTTTTGTGAGCAACATAAACAACTGCTGTTGTGCTAATCCACTAAGTTTGGAGAAGGCTGGTCACACAGCATGCATGCACGATTGCTAAGCCGCTTCAGTTGTGTCCAACTCTTTGCGGCCCCATAGACTGTAGCCCACCAGGCTCCTCTGTCCATGGGATTCTCTAAGCAAGAATAGTGGAGTGTGTTGCCATGCCCGTCTCCAGGGGATCTTCCAGACCCAGGAATCAAACTCACATTTCTAAACTGCCTGCGTTGGCAGGTGGGTTCTTTAACCACTAGCACCACCTGGGCTGTCCCTGACTAGTGCCACCTGGAAAGCCCCCTGATACAATGCTTTTTCTCACTTATAAGCCAGTAGATCAGAGTGCCTTCCTTGGGTGTGGTACAGGTTTCCCCCACTATTCAAAAGCAGAACCTCAGGAAACCATTTGTAAGCCAAAGTGGTCTAAAGTGAAGAAGCAATTATGTTAGGACCCATCTTGCTAATGGAAGCACAAAATAAAGCCCAGATGTCCACAGACACAGTTCAAAGCTATGGAGGCTGGATGCTGAGATGCTGACTGTATTTCTCAGGAAAGGAGCTGGGGGGTGCCACACTCCCTGCTGCTTCGGGTGTGCACTGCCTCTGCCAGGGCTGTTGGAAAACAAATGCTGAATGCTATTTTCGCCTTTTGCCTTTTTGTTCCCCATAAAAGCAAAACTCCTTCTTGGATTTCTTGCAGTTAGTAAAGAAACAGATTCTAATATAGGTCTTTCATAAATGTGAAGTGGCAAAAACTGTTGAAAAGGTTGGGGGATACCTGTGTTCAGAAGAATTTGGGGGATGGTAATGAGGCTTAGAGGGAAAGAGTCCTTTTCTGATTAGTGAAGTTATACATTGGGCACAGTACTGAGTGATGGCATCACTGCTATTTGCCAACCCTGTTAAGATCTAGCACTCCCACTTTGTATACTGAAGAAGACAGAATGCAGGCAGGTTATGATCTGCTCACACAGATATTTAGTACAAGAGCCAAAGCTCTAAATCAGGTCTTCTGATGTGCAGTTTAGTATTCTTTCCACTTTGCCTGTCCATTTTCAATAACAGATTCCAGAGACATGAACCATAGGACCTAGAGCAGCAAATATATGCTTGGGTGATTCTGTTTCCCCTCCTATGCCTGAGACAGATATCATTAATCAAGTACAGTGACTAAGATCACTGATATGCATATAGACAATAGACCCAAATTATCATTAGAGGACCTGGGAAGAAAGATGCAAGAGCTTTAACTTATTTGTATTAGGAGAACAGATCAGAAGAACACAGTAAAGGCAGGCTCAAAATATAAACTGTAAAAAGAGCTGATATCAAAATGCAGTGTGTGTGAACAAGAGGGAAGGGTTTGGACAGGACTGCCCAGGATTAAGGATATCTGAGACAACACACAAACTCACTTCTTAGAGTCTACTAAGGATTTGCTTCTTACATCCTTAAGGAACTCTGCTGCAAATCCTGTTAAAACAATTTCCATTAACATTTTTGAACTATTTAGTTGTAGTTAGAAGAAAATCTGTTACTTTAGTTCTATAAAGTATATGCCATGTATAGAACTTGGTGTCATCCTGAATACAATAGATTGGAATGTATACAACACATACAACAGTCCTGTACTGGGATATTGTACACTTTGACTGTTGCGTTCTTTATAATGTACTTGGCATTGTCTGAGAGCAAAGTAGGCTCAGAAAAAAAAAAAAAAAACTAGACTAGTTCTAAACGACAAATTAGAAAATAGGTTCCAAACCATTAGAAAATGGTTCCAAATAGGAAAAGGAGTACGTCAATGCTGTATATTGTCACCCTGCTTATTTAACTTAAATGCAGAGTACATCATGAGAAACGCTGGGCTGGAGGAAGCACAAGATGGAATCAAGATTTCCGGGAGAAATATCAATAACCTCAGATATGCAGATGACACCACCCTTATGGCAGAAAGTGAAGAAGAACTAAAGAGCCTCTTGATGAAAGTGAAAGAGGAGAGTGAAAAAGTTGGCTTAAAGCTCAACATTCAGAAAACCAAGATCATGGCATCCGGTCCCATCACTTAATGGCAAATAGATGGGAAGATAGTGGAAACAGTGGCTGACTTTATTTTTCTGGGCTCCAAAATCACTGCAGATGGTGATTGCAGCCATGAAATTAAAAAACGGTTACTCCTTGGAAGGAAAGTTATGACCAGCCTAGATAGCATATTAGAAAGCAGAGACATTACTTTGTCAAAGATGATCCGTCTAGTCAAGGCTATGGTTTTTCCAGTGGTCATGTATGGATGTGAGAGTTGGACTATAAAAGAAGGTGAGCGCTAAAGAATTGATGCTTTTCAACTGTGGTGTTGGAGAAGACTCTTGAGAGTCCCTTGGACTTCAAGGAGATCCAACCTGTCCATCCTAAAGGAGATCAGTCCTGGGTGTTCATTGGAAGGACTGATTCTGAAACTCCAATACTTTGGCCACCTGATGCGAAGAGCTGACTCATTTGAAAAGACCTTGATGCTGGGAAACAGTGAGGGCAGAAGGAGAAGGGGACGACAGAGGATGAGATGGTTGGATGGCATCACTGACTCAATGGACATGGGTTTGGGTGTACTCCGGGAGTTGGTGATGGACAGGGAGACCTGTCATGCTGCGGTTCATGGGGTTGCAAAGAGTTGGACATGGCTGAGCGACTGAACTGAACTGAGGGGATGATTTAAAAGCCGAGGTTATGAACCTATGCACTGTGGATTCTCCCGTAGCTTGCTGAGAATCGGTTTCAGATTCATCCAATATAGAAACCAACAGCAGAGCTTTTCTGAAGTTGGTTATAAGCGAGCAAAACTCCCTGCAGAAGCAATGACAACTGAACTCCCAGAAAAACAGTGATCACTCTTCTGCTTTCTATGATTCTGAGTAGGGGCCTGAGGGAGGTCGGAATGAAGGTTGAGTAAAAGAAGTAGCCAGGTGCCTTTATTTATTCATTTGTTCACTGCGTACTTAGAATCTACAAGGTATTCTGTTAAACATCACAAAGAACACAAGGATGAAACAGACAGGAATTTTGACTTCCAAGGTTCTCCAGGGGAGCCCCCCACCATCCTCTTTTAATAGAATAGGATTTGCCAACATGGGGTTAATGAGTTAGAAATCAAAATACCAGCCAGTGGCATCTAAACACAAGAACACTGGATTTAATTATTAGAAGCAGGCAAGATACATCATTACACAATTGTCTACACAAATCCACAGGCTTGAAGAATATTAATAATACCTACCTCTCTCTCTCTCTCTCTTCCTTCTTTCTTTCTTTCCTTCTCTCTCTTTCTTGAAAGATTACTAATTGCTGGATCAGTTAGATGTATCATAGTGTTTTTAGGACATTATTCCTGCTACAGAAATTCTTTTCATCATCTCCACTTTCAGATTTGTAACACAGGCTTGTCCTTTAACAAGTAAGTGTTCTTTTCAGAGAAATGTGCAGCAGATGTGGCAAAACAGAAATATAATATTCTTGGAAGTGAACTAGTTTGGATAATAATTTAACTTTCTTTTTTTGTACTTGGACTTTATTCTTTCAGTAATTTCTCGGTCCACATCAAATTTTCAGGAAGGTTGAAGTGATCATTTTGTGTAACTTACTCATAAATCTTCAAATAATGGGCAGTAAAATTCTTGTAACATTTTTTTTTTCAGGTTTTTGTGTTTAGGAGCTGTTGATTTATATTTTCCCTAATCGTTCCTGGAAGAGAATAACTCAATATTTTCCACTGGGTTTTCCTAAATACCAGCAACTTGCTTTTCAACTGATAATCTTAACCCAACCACCTCTCAAAAACCTACAATATCTGTTAAGTGCCAGCGCACAAGTAGGGGACAGAAAAGAATCTGAAAGCAAGTGGGTATTGGAGTCGATACAATCTGGATTCCATACAAAGTCTGACGCTGTGCAATTCTATATAAATTACTTAATCTCACTGAGCCTTATTTTTTTTATCTGTAAGACAGGGATAGACTGCACACTGGAGAATTAAGTACAATGTAAGAAAGCAGGGAGCCTGGTACATAATAGGAGTCCCTTAAATAATAAATTCCCTTCGCTTCCTCTTAAACATGACAATGATAATGTTCAGGATTTGATTAATAAAACATAAACAGTTAACGACTGCAAACTACTCAGGTCCCAATCAGCTTTTCAGACACATATATGTAGAAGATTTGGCATGTCTCCTCCTTTTTCTTAATGGAAACAGCACCCCACATTAAGAAAAATAAAAATCTGGTGGGGGGGGGGAACCACCTATAATTTCATCATCCACAGCTGTTTCCATTTTTGTCATGGTCTGGCTTTTCTACAAAACGGTCACATCTTCTCTGTTGCAGTCAGGGTGTGCTCATCATGAAGGTACTAAAAAATTCATTCCAGGTGATGGTGGGGAGCTGCTGAAGAAGAAATGGAGGGCTGCGGAGGTGTTAAAGTTCTCTCATGATATTGTTCGAAGGTTGCTTCAGCACAGAAACTCCACAAAGAACTCCTCTGCAGTTTTCGCTACCCAGGGCTGTTTCTTTAAATTGTTTGACGTCAGAGAAGGAATGCTATAGCAACAGTCTGTCAAACTGGAATTAACTCAGAAGAAAGATGGGGGTGGGGGGAGAGGAAAATTGCTCCCGGGCGGTACTGACTTCAGAGGAAGCAAACTGGGTAGATGCCTTCATTTTATGACATTTTAAACATAAAACAGCCCTAGAAATCTGGAAAAAGTCGGTTGCCTGTGATGTTTAACTCATGCAGAGATGAGCGAATTGACAGGGTTATCTAGAAGGCCCGGTTTCATCAGCGACAGCAGTAACAATAACTTCCAAGCGTTGATCATTTATTCAGAGGCAGGCTCTGTGCAAACGTTACCTCATTAAAAAATTTCGCACCTTCATGAGGTAGGTACACTAGCCCTACTTTGCCCAGGATGACAGTCCATGAGACGGTACACAGTCACACAACTAGCGACGATAGAGCTGGGATCCCAAGGCAATTTTGGAAGACTCGGGGCTTCAGTTCACAGAATGTGAAGCCTAAATGGGACCTTGAGGTCTCCTAAGTCAGCCCCTCTATCCAGCCCACGAGCAAGCTGGGGCCTGCGCGGTGGCAGGAAGGAAACCGGCCACACCACTTGGGCGCTCCTCAGAAGTGTGCTCAGAGTCCAGGCGCCGCACCAAGAAAACGAAACTGCCCGGGGAATTAATGTTTTTCTTCTCCTTCTAGCAGGAAACGAGAGAAAAAATAGGAAGCAAAAGCTGAGCGCCGCGCCAGCAGCTTTCGCCCCCCAACCCGGGACGCGCAAGCTCCAGGATCTGCGCGCGCCCGCGGCGCGTCCCCGCCGAGTCCGCGCGCCTCGTGCCTCGCGCCTTGCGCCTCGAGCCACGTCCCCGCCCCGGCCCCGCGCGCCGCGGAGTTGGCTGCTGGGCGGCGCGGGCCTGGGTGTGGTCGGCGGATCTCCGCGGCGCTGGTCTCCGCGGTGCATTGCGCTCTGCACGCCGGCTTCGCGCGCCAGGGGCGGCTGAGCGCCTAGCCGATCTCCGCACCCTCAGTCCACGCGGGCCCCAGCTCCCTCCAGGTAGGCGGCGGCCGCGCGAGCTGCGGCTCGTCTATGCGCCCCGCGGGGGCAGGAGGCGCCGCGGTTCCTCCCCGGCGGAACCCGGCCCGGGAGGCGGCGCGGGGCCGCCCGGGCGGAACCCGGCTCGGGGTCGGCGAGGTCCCTCCTGACTCGAAGACTGGGGACTCCGGGAGGCGGATCTTGCCTGGGAGGGACGGGGCGGGTGCGCCTCGATGGCACTCCGCTGGGGTGCGGGGACCGCCGCTCGGCCGCCGCTTCGGGCACTTCCTGGGCTGCTCGGACCTCTGGCTCTGGGCAGCGAGGGGGCGGTCAGTGGTCCTTGGCCTCCAGACCCCTAGTTCCTCTCCGCGACCGGAGGCCCCTCCGGGGCACTGGAACGCGAGCTCGTGTTTGTCCCGAGAATAGCGGTTATTCAGGGCTGCCCAGAAGGGTTATTGGGTGGTGAGCGCTGGGAGATATAAAAGTTCTCTACCGAGTGCTAAAAATGAGTCCAGTGCTTTCATGTTAGATTTATTTTGAAAAGGATGTGATGCTCAATATTTGGTGGATATTTGGTGGAGGTGGGGATTAAGGATTTTGAATACTTGTAAGTTCAGTACATGATAAAATGTTTTTTCCTTTTCTCTCCGTAGTCTTTTTCTGCCTCGAAACACAAACGATTGCCTTGTAGTTTTATTGCTATTTGGTAGAGGAAGATAGAATTTCCCAAAGTTTAAGAACAGACTTTCATTTGTTTATGGAAGCAATGCTTTGTTATTTTGCTTCTCTCTCTCTCTCTCTCTCTTTTCCCCCCATTCCTTCCTTTTCTCTTAGTAAAGGGTGTGGATGCGTCTTTCTCCCTCCACAAGCTCTATATGTGGATTAGCACCCTACTGGAAAGTTTTCTTAAGACATTCGGCATTGCATTGTTGATGCATTCTAATCATCTTAGTATTGCAAACTGAGATTGTGACCTTTAAGCACATCTTCTAGAACAGAAATAGACTACACACCGATTATTTAAGATGAGAGAGAAGTCATTACTAGTCGGCGAGGAAAACGACGGTCTGTAGGATAAAATTGTATGCTTTGAGTCTCATTGCTATTGAGCTTATTAAGACTCTTAACTTGTGGGGCTTTGGGGTTATTACTGATTTTAGGCTCTGAAAGTTTATTGTATTTTTCAGTATTTAGTTAAAGGTCATTTAAGACTTTCCATGTTACATTTTGGTTTGTAGATTAATTTGAAACTTAGTTAACTTAGATTAATAGAAACTTAAAATATCACTTTATTCAGTGTCCTTAATTCTCTTGTGTGTATACGAATTTATAAAATTATAAGATTGGGTAATATTGCTTATAATACATTTATGTTCATTTCTTTGTGAGCTGTAGGCATTCCTTAGTTTATTTTGAATTGTTAGCTGTTAACTTGCAGAATAGTTTCTATTATTACTTTCTCCAGCTTTATTGAGATTTAATTGATACAATTAACATATAACATTCTGTAAGTTTAAGGTGTACAAAGTGGTCATTTGATATATAAATTGCAAAATGATTATGGATGTTAAGGTTAGTTAATACATCCATCACCTCCTATAATTAGCTGTGTGTGTGTGTGTGTGTATGTAGGGTATTTAAGATCTGTTCTAACATCTTTCAAGTATGCAGTGAAAGTGAAGTGAAAGTGTCAGTTACCCATTTGTGTCTCACTGTTTGCCTCCCCATGGACTATAGCCCGCCAGACTCCTCTGTCCATGGGATTTTCCAGGCAGCAATGCTGGAGTGGGTTGTCATTTCCTTCTCCAGAGGATCTTCCTGATCCAGGGATTGAACCTGGGTCTCCCCATTGCAGGCAGATTCTTTACCATCTGAACCACACTGTAGTCACCATGTTGTACATTAAGTCCCCAGAAGGTATTCATCTTATAACCAGAGGTTTTTAACGTTTGATCAACATCTCCCTAGAATGGTTTCTTTTAAATCATTGGCACTTTAGTATGTCAGCACATATTTTTACACTTTTAAAAATAGATTCTGGGACATTCTGAAAATTGAGGATTGGAATTATGTGGACATTTTTTTTCTTAGCAAATACCACCTGCATATGTGCATGATCAGCTGTGTCCAACTCTTTGTGACCCCATGGACTAAGTAGCCCACCAGGCTCCTTGTCCTTGGAATTTTCCTGGCAAGAATACTGGAGTGGGTTGCCATGACCTCCTCCAGGGGATCTTCCTGACCCAGGTATTGAACCCAAGTCTCCTATGTTTCCTGTGCTGCAGGCGAATTCTTCACTGCTGAGCTACCCAGAAAGCCCCAAATACTGCCTGAGATGGTGTGATTTCACTGATTCCTTTCAGGCATGTTATTGTAGCACTTTACCTTGTTAATCTGTGTTTATTATAGGAACTACTTATTAAACGTATGTTCTGGGCCAGGTGCAAGAGACACAAATTTGATCCCTGGTTCCGGAAGATCCCCTGGAGAAGGAAATGGCAACCCACTCCATTATTCTTGCCTGGGAAATTCCATGGACAGAGGAGCCTGGTGGGCTACAGTCCATAGGGTCACAAAGAGTCATACACACCTGAATGCACGCACTCATCTGGGCCAGGGGCAATGCTGTACATTATTCTGTTTATGTCCTATGTTAACATGGTAAAAGGGACATTATCCAGTTCTACAGGTAAGAAAACTGTGGCTCTGAGATGTTAAGTAATAACTTGCCAGTGGTTATGTAGCTGTTAGGTAACTCATTTGGGATTTAAGGCCAGACCTCTCTGTGAAGTTTATGTTCCTCCCTCTGTGCCGCACTGACAGCATCAGGACATGAGGAGTAACCCTGTTACTCATTAGCATGTTAGTACATTTTACAAGAGGTTCCTAGAGATGTGAGTTTATTTTTCTAGCGTAATCATTATTATCTGTCAGTGCTATTATACACATCCTTGTTTTAGTCATTCTCTTCTCACCTCTTTTCCTCTTAAGTGTCAAGTTTGAAACTTCCCTCTTGCCAGGGCAGAATTTCTCCTACTGACATTAATAGGTTGTAATTGTTTAGTTTCTAAGTTGTGTCCAGCTCTTTTGTGAGACTCCTCTGTCCATGGGATTTCCCAGGCAAAATTACTGGAGTGGGTTGCCATTTCTTTCTCTAGGGGATCTTCCTGACCCAGGGACTGAACCCATGTCTCCTGCATTGGAAGGTGGATTTGTTATTACTGAGCCACCAGGGAAGCCCAACTTTAGTAACAGCGTTAGCTTAATTATCCTTCTGAATAATAACCCTATTTTTATGTGAGTTCTCCAGAGCCATAGATATTAGTAATTTGGAAGGTTGCAAACAGGATGGCAGTCTATTTTGGAATATGGGAATCCTTCAATGTCCCTCAAATTAAACCAGAAGGAATTTTGATGGATATTTCCTTCTGTAGTTATCCTATCTCTTCTACATCTTCAATTTCAGTTTCTGTGGAATCATTTACATTATAATGCAAACATTCTGTTACATCTTCCATCTTAAAGTTCTTTCTTGATCCGGTATTCTGTTCCATTTCTCTGTTCCACGTGGAGAAAACATAATATTTTGATATAGCATAAGTAAATAGAGAAGAGAAAACCAGAAACTAATTAGTTACCTACGAGGAATGGGTAGGAACAGAGTAAAAGGGATGGTGGAGGGAGTGGCAATGCTCTGATTACACCTTTTTGTGTAGTTATGAGTTTTGGAAACTTTCTAATATTTTATATTTTTTTAAAAATGAAATTAACAAGGTTGGGAGGGTAAAAAACTTCCAAAATTGAATACAGATAGCAGCAGATGAACTGACTATACTTTAATAACAAATTCTCAGAATAAAAAAAAAAATGAATCCAAGTAAACTTTTAACACAGAATTTGATTATATATCTTTAACTTAAGATAAAAGGACTGACAAAAATAAAAACAAGAAATCTTGAACCAGGTGTAGTAGGCTGTTATGTATAGTGGTAGAGACATAGCAATTTTACAACTATTCTATGTGTATTGTAGGACTGAGCAAATGAGTAAATTCCTTGCTATGTTGCGAACTAGGATTTTCACTGTAGAAGCAGGGAAAATAGGAAAGAGAAGAAGGCAGTGAAGACCTCAGCAATGTTGGATGGGAATTAAGAGTTTATCCATATGAACTTGTGATTAAAATGTCCATTCATACAGACATGCATATAATTCCTAACTCTGTGTAATGAAAGGGCTAGAACTAATGACACCCTAGTAGCAGTGAGCCCAGCTAGTTTGCCCAAATGCAAATGGCAAATTCCAGGGTTCAGTTCAGTTCAGTCACTCAGTTGTGTCCGACTCTGC